ACTTCGCACTTTTGAAATTTGGTGATTAGACTCAGTTAAAGGCGCTTCGCATCATGAAGAAATCCACTTTCCAATAACCTTTCTATATTTAAAAAAAATATTTATTTAATAGGCATTTGAGATTCAAGTAAAGCCGTGCCGTGCATGATAGGGGAATATGAACTTATTCCTACTTTGCTGAGACAACAATTTTTTCGAATGAGTGCAAATGACAATCTAAGAAAATTTTTGTCGATGTCTGGTCAAAATAGATGAGTTTTTAAATTGTTATGCGAGCGTATTCCATAGATTCCTTTCTTTTTTTAATTATGTTTTTGATAAAATCTAATTTACATACTATCTTGATTTAATTGATCTTTGTAGATCTGATATCATTCATCGGTTCTCGTACATTTATTCGCCTCACAAAATGATGTTGATTAGAGCAGTATCTCCTTAAAAAAGGTAATATGAAGGGCAATACGGGCTACGTCCTTCGAAGTGCCAATTTAAACGCAAAAAGTTATGAAAATTAGGTTAACCCTAGTCTGCACACTGATTGGTGGCTGCAACCAAGCCAGAGGTCTCATCATCGTGTCCGTAATATCTATTTGTCTTTTAGGTAGTCAAATACATATCTATTCATCAGCATACTAGGGCCTTTCGAGTAAGAGTCTTTCTTGATTGAGTTAATTAAATTTGATCTATCTAAAAGTACATACTTATTTATACAAATTAATTATCTAATAAGTTGCTATAATAGGCAATAAATTCTTTTGCCTGAAAATTTTGCTATTAGATACTGATCTCATAGCCAAGCACAAAGAGGATATGGTAATGAATGTTGATGCGATCATGAAAGAGCAAAATCAACTTGAAAATCTAGATTTGTATTATAAAAGCTATAAAGCCATGTTTCTATAATGCAGACATTTTACCCAACTTGCTAGTAATTAAGTTTAAGTGCAAGGGTACATAGCAGTATAGTCTGCCTAGGTGGCTATCCTAAAAGTCGTAGGATGGGTTAGCCCATCCAACACTAATCGGTGACTTACAAAAACCTTTTTATATAGAGAGAGTAAGGTAGTATGCAGTTACAAAGCTTAGACTGAATTTTTTATCCCTTAGTTATGATTCGTCTTAGGTTTTACGTTTTAATTTTAAAAAATTGTGTTTTCGTAAACATTGCAGCACTAATGCTTTTTCCCAATTCGCTAGTTATTAAAAAATAAATCGAATTAATGAGAATAGATTAATTACGAAATATAACGGTACCTACCAGGCCGATCAGACGTTTAAGAGTGGAGGAATATGCGAGTTTCATATGGGACTCCACCTCAGCATTTCTATTAGGTCTATGCAGGCAACTCTGAATCTCTCCAAAATGACTAGCAAAAGACTCGAGGAATATGGTCTCCATTAAACTTGGCAGAGTGTCTGTCTCAAGCAGCTCATTGTCGTACCTAGTCAGCTCCGTTCTGGCTTCTCGATAGGTTGGGCAGGATGACGAAGTTTTCTGGAAAGGTATAGAGGTCGGCATTAGATGGATCTTCCACCTAAGCCAATCCATATCAGAATCGACAACACAACTTGCACTTTTAGAACTGGCGTCAACAGCAGAACAAGGGGCATCGCCAAATAATCTAGTGACACAAACGGAATCTGTGACGCAAGTAGCAGCAGTAGTAGAAGAAGAAGCAGAAGGATTATTAGAAGGAAACATGACGGGTTCGGCAATATTAGCCACTCTAGCGCAGCTTGGTGCAAGCGAAAATTTGACAACAGCAGACTCTGGCAACAAAAAAGCATTACTAGCGCTTTTTGAAGTGGAGCTGCTGCTCTTCTGACACGTATTACGGCCGGTTTAACTAATTGAATAAAAATTTGTTTAATTGGATTAACTTCATTTGACACCTTAACTAGTTGTATTACGGTCATAATTGTATCATCTCTTGCTGAGGATTCCGACTGTAATACTGGGCTTACGTCTGAGAGGGTACCAAGTCAACGGCCCGATGCTTGAAATTATTATTATAGCTTAACAAAGGGTGCAGAACCGGGTATATTCCACAGTATCTTCCTGATTCTCCGACCAAGTCTTGAAAACAGTGTTAATACAACACCATAAATAAAGTTTGTTTAATAGAATGTTTTGGATTATATACCAATAAGTTAACGTGTGTAAGAAATGGGTGACGCAATGTTAGTTGAATAAGAATTGATTTTATCAATAAGTCTATAATTGCTAAGCGTTCATTAATCCATCAACTCCATTACATACATTAGAATTATTGACGGGTTTCAAGTAACTTTGTCCTAATATCCTTCTCATTTCCTCGCTTATTTAGCATGCCTTAAACTCATTCTTATCTGCTATCCTATTAACTACTTAGATCGTGTGGGTCTACTTGATAGCGATCGTGTTTGCCAGCTTCAGGAAAGGTTGATGCAGTCACTGCAATGTCACCTGCTCTATCATTCGCTATCTTTGATCCCAGACGCCCATCATGCTTCTGGTTTTCCTATTATGCCTGTCCAGATTGGGAGCGAGGCCGGCTTGATGCGTCTGTCACGCCTTCTTATTAGCATAACCAATCTGCGTCAGCTGAGTCTAGAGCATCGACGCCGGTTGTCGGAACTACGCAAGCATCTGCCGTCTGAGTTCGTTTTTCCATTCGATATCTACTCAGAGACTTTTGATCTCAACTGTTGATCCTAACACTGCTTCCTTTTGCGTTGACTTTTTGAAACATCTTTTTGTTAATATGGATTAGGGGCCCTTAGGTATAATGCCTGTTTCGTAAGATGCTGTTCACTTAACCTATTCTCCCCTTATTTATGCGTGCCATGATTATTAAGATTATTAAAACTGGACCGCTTGCTTTCATCTTGGAAACTGATCATGCTTGCAATAGCTGGATATTTCTTTCCGCGATGTTTTTGGTGGCCAAAAAGTAGAAGTTTATGCAAGCTAGGTGATAGGGGTTGTTTGTTAAACGTAAATTCGATTACTATAGCGATAATGATGACGTATGGTCGCACTCCACTGTTATGTTAC